CCAAAAAACTACTAGAACTAATAACTAAATTTAGCAAAATTGCAGGATACAAAATTAATACACAGAAATTTGTTGCATTCCTATATACTAACAATGAAACATGAGAAAGAGAAATCAGAAAATCAACTCCATTTACAATGGCATCAAAAAGAATAAAATACCTAGGAATTAATCTAACCAAGACCTATACTCTGAAAACTACAAGATAATCATTAGAGAAATTAAAGAAGATACCAAAAAATGGAAATCTATCCTGTGCTCATGGACAGGAAAAATTAATATTGTCAAAATGGCCGTCCTGCCCAAAGCAATTTACAGATTCAATGCAATTCTTATGAAAATACCAACAGCATTCTTCAATGAACTAGAACAAATAGTTCTAAAATTCATATGGAACCACAAAAGACCCTGAATTGCCAAAGCAATCCTGAGGAAGAAGAACAAAGCTAGGGGGATTATGCTCCCTGATTGTACTACAAAGCTACAGTAATCAAAACAGATGGTACCAGCACAAGAACAGACCTATAGATCAATGGAACAGACTAGAGAGCCCAGATATAAACCCAGGAATATAAGGTCAATTAATATATGATAAAGGAGCCATGAATATGCAATTGGGAATAGACAGCCTCTTCAATGACTGCTGTTGGCAAAACTGGACAGCTACATGTAAGAGAATGAAACTGGATTACTGTCTAACTCCATACAGAAAAGTAAACTTGAAATGGATCCAAGACCTGAATGTAAGTCATGAAACCATAAAACTCTTAGAAGAAAACATAGGCAAAAATCTCTTGAATATAAACATGAGCAACTTTTTCCTGAACACATCTCCTTGAGCAAGGGAAACAAAATAAAAAATGAACAAGTGGGACTACATCAAACTAAAAACCTTCTGTACAGCAAAGGACACAATCAGGAGAACAAAAATGCAAATATAGTATTGAAGAATATATTTGTAAGTAATTCATCTGATAACGGCTTCACACCCAAAATATATAAAGAACTCGTATGCCTCAGTGCCCAAAAAACAAATAACCCAATTAAAGAATGGGCAGAGGACCTGAACAGACACTTGTCCAAAGAAGAAGTTCAGATGGCAAACAGGAACATAAAAAGTTGCCCCACATCACTAATCATCAGGGAAATGCAAATTAAAACCACAGTCAGACATCACCTCACAGCAGTTAGAATGGCCACTACCCAAAAGATAAAAAATAAATTCTGGCGAGGCTGCAGAGAAATAGGAATCCTTCTACACTGTTTGTGGGATGGCAAATTGGTGTAACTGCTGTGGAGAGCAGTATGGAGGTTCCTCAAAAAACTAAAAATAGAAATACCATTTGATCCAGTAGTAATCCCATTCCTTGGAATTTATCTGAGGAAAACAAAATCCATGATTCAAAAAGACAATATGCACCCCTGTTTATCGCTGTACTGTTTGCAACAGCCAAGATATGGAAGCAGCCTAAGTGTCCATCGATAGATGAATGGATAAAGAGGTGGTACATATACACAATGGAATATTATTCAGCCATAAGAAGAAAAGAAATCCTGCCATTTGCAACAATATGGATGAATGTAGAGGTTATTATGCTCAATGAAATAAACCAGTCAGAGAAAGACAAATGCCATATGATTTCACTTATTTGTGGAATACAAAAACAAAGCAAAACAGAAAGAACAAAACAGCATTAGACTCAGACACTGAGAAATGACTAGTGATTACCAAAGGGGAGGGGAGTAGACTTGGGCTGGGCAGGGGGAACTCTTGAACCACTGTGATATACATTTGATTATAACTTAAAAATTAGGTATAAGACTATTCCCTGCAATGCTGGCCATAAGAGTAAAACAAAAATAACATGCAGGTCTTGAAGAGAGGTAGGTAAAATAAGTTGTGGTACAGCCATACAGTGGAAAACTTTGGACACAAAACAGTGTGATAGTTATGAATATAGGCTTTGAATTTAAATTTCAGTGAACTCCCATCTCTCTCAGATTGTCCTGAGCTCTTTCCAGACCTTTCCTCCTTGCTTTTCATTTGTATCTGTCAACTATTGCTCTATGCTAATCTCAAAATCTCAGGGGCATACAACAATAAACACTTATTTCTCACTGGAAGTTTGCAGGTCAACTGGGTCAGCTCTACTTCAGGCTATGATGGCTAGGACAGCTCTACCTCACAACACAGCTGGCTAGCTAGAGTAATATTCTTGTTATGACAATCACAGAAGCACAAGGAGGCAAGAGATAATATGTGAAGCTTCCTAATGTCTAGGTTCAGAATTAGCACAATGCTGTTTCCTCCCACATTCATTGGCCACTGAAAGTCATGTGGACAAGCCAAATCTAAGAGTCAGAGAAGTGCCCTCAGCCCTCATGAGGCTGCAGAGATACTGTAGATTCAGGGAGGGGTGAGAAAATCGGGCAAGTAATTCAATCTACAACATTATTTCTCATCATTTGTAATTGTTGGTGAGATTGCTACCCAAGTCCTTTTCTGCACTTATTGAACTCATTCTAGTTTCTGTTTAGTTTTATTTCTATCTTAGCAGAATATCTTTTTTTATTAAGGTATCATTGATATACACTCTTACGAAGGTTTCACATGAAAAATATTGTGGTTTCTATATTCACCTATATTATCAAGTTCCCCCACATCCCATTGTAGTCACTGTCCATCAGTGTAGTAAAAAGCCACAGAGTCACTGCTTGTCTCCTCTGTGCTACATTGTCTTCCCCATGATCCCTCCACACCATGTGCACCAATCATAATGCCCCTCAATCCCCTTCTCCTTCCTCCCCACCCACCCTCCTCCACCCCTCCCCTTTGATAACCGCTAGTCCCTTCTTGGACTCTATGAGTCTTCTTAGCAGAATACTTTTAAAAATCTTTCTATATATTTACAACTCTGCCTCAGGGACCAGCTTTGGTGGCATAGAGCCTCCCACCATTCTCTAAAAAATCCCCTCTTAGGGATATTTCCACTCATATATATATGATTTATTTTTCTTCTCTACAGCATTCATATTAAACATTTAATTTCCTTGGATTTAGCCAAGATAAACACCCCAAATTCATAATACCTGTAAGGGACATGGCTTTTTTTAAAAAACTAAAATAGGACATTAATTCTGCATGTATTTCCAAAGGAATAGAGACCAGTTTGTATTAGGGGAGCTTTTGTAGATGAGTTACTTCTCACATAAATGCCTCACAGAGGCTGATATAGAATAATCTGGATTCAAGTGATCAACTTTTGTAAGCATTAGCCAGGCTTTGAACCAGTTTTAGAAATGAGGATACACCGTATTCTAGCTCCAAGAAACAGAATTGGTAGAGAGAGAATATAACCAGAATAGAATGTCAATAAAACTTTAGCCCCTCCCTTGGATTCTGAGAGTGTTATAAACCCAGAACACAGTTTCAAACTGGGGTATATGGACTAAAAGTATGAGAATGCAGAGAGCATGCTTCAAGACCTAGGGATGCTTTTCCCAGAAAAGGAACATGATGAAAATGGTCAAAAGAGGCTATTTCCTTTCTCTTTTCGAATGTTGGCTCCAGAGCCTGAGCAGAAACTCTTCAATGTCTTGCAGGTTCAGATTTCACTGCTCTCATCAGCTTGGAGAAATCATGTGGCTGTTGACAGTTCTTTTCCTTTGGGGTAGGTTGTCTTAGAGGGGATACAGGCTCTGGCTATGAGGATTCAGGACACTTTTTGTCTTCCTTTGGTAACCTAAGCTAGATGACATGAATATGGAGACAACTGTGTTTCTGTGGTACATTAGTACTTATTATATCAAAAAATGGGAAGGGGGACTGAGGTAACACTAAGCCTGGAAGCACCAAATCAAAATAAAGCCTCATCAATAACCATCTATAGGCTGTTGAGTACCACTGGTACTTGATTTTGGGGAAGAGAGTAGAAAGAAACTAAAGAGAGATACACTGATCTCTCCAAGTCTGCACTAATTCTGTCTCCCCAGCTCCCCACTCCTTTTCATTTACCAACTGACCAGCTAATATCTCTATTCTTTGGTCTCTTGCAGTTCCAGTTGGTGGGTAAGTGGGTAAGTAATCTCTCACATAAATTCTCTTCCTTTACTACCTTACTACTTCTCAAGGATGCTGCTTCTCAAGTATCCTGAAGAAAAGAATATAAGGAGAGGATAGAAAGGAGAAAGACTTAAAAAGTACGTAAAATACTCTATATTCAGAGTATGATTCTGATAAAATCCTGGTTTTTAGGGTTTCTCTCTAAGACTTCCTAAATGAGCTCTGATCTCTGGACTAAATGCCTAATGTATTTATAAGAGCAGGAAAGGGCCAGAATTGCAAAAAAAAAACAACATCTCCCAAACCAGTCCCCTTTGGAAGAAAGCTGAGTATTTTTTTTATCAGAGAGAACAAAATAGGTTACAAAGGCTTGAAAGTGAGGGGTTTGAGCCTGTTTCCAATGCAGATGCTATTTAAGGCCTGAGATTAACCCTCAGAGACACTACAGCACAAATGATAAGAAAATCAGCTCCAATTTACCATCACTTAAAACCCTGCTTTATTGCTTACAAACAATGAGACAAAAATTAGTCATTTATTTTTCCCCGAATCTCCAACACCCAGATGCAGATTTAATAAAATGAACAGAGCTCTTTACAGCAGGGTCTGGACACTCTTAATGGCTGGCTTTGGTAGGTTCCCACTTGCCTATTTTTCAATCTAATTAAATGTACACTTTTCTTACAATATTCACAAAATCTAATTGTTCAGACTTTCCCTTTACTACACTTGTCTTTTTTTCTTTATCCCCAAGCAGACCCCTCAAAGGCAGTGATCACCTTGCAGCCTCCATGTGCCACTGTATTACAATAGGAAAATATAACCCTGTGGTGTGAGAAACCCCGTCAGCCTGGTGGCAACTCCACACAGTGGTTTCTCAATGGCACATCCATTCAGACCTTGACCCCCAGATATAGAATTGCTGCCAGCCGTGTCAATGACAGTGATGAATACAGGTGTCAGACAGGTCTATCAATACCAAGTGACCCAGTACAGCTGGAAATCCACTGAGGTAAGTATGGCAAGGGGCAGGAGGGCTGGACATTATAAGATCTTCCTTTGTGTTTGTCCTTTCTTAATGCCAGATGTGTATGCTTTGATTTATCTGAGTTGAGACTCTATGTGTCCACCAGGTGAAATTAAGTCAAGATATGCAACTGGGACAGCTGTGAATAGGGTATCTAGAGTAAAACTCAGACACTGAGATTTACTTATTCAAAATTATCTAGTTTTGTTGAAAAAAGTTATGCTTGCACATAGTAAATAATAATTCAGAGAGATGTGCAGTGATGAACAATGAAGTCTTTCTCCAGTAGGGGTTTGTGGGACCCAAATTCCTAGTCTGACTCACCTTCCAAAAAAACAAAACTGTTAATATACATGAACTTTAAAAAAAAGTAGTTGGTAGAATGGTCAAAATGGCCATCCTGCCTAAAGCAATTTACAGATTCAATGCAGTCCCTATCAGAACAACAACAGCATTCTTCAATGAACTAGAGCAAATAGTTCTAAAATTCATATGGAACCACAAAAGACCCTGAATAGTCAAAGCAATCCTGAGAAGAAAGAGTAAAGCAGGAGGAATTATACTCCCTGACTTCAAGCTCTACTACAAAGCCACAGTAATCAAGACAATTTGGTACTGGCTCAAGAACTGACCCATAGACCAATGGAACAGACTAGAGAGCCCTGATATAAACTCAAGCATATATGGTCAATGAATGTACGATAAAGGAGCCATGGATATACAATGGGGAAATAACAGCCTCTTCAACACCTGGAGTTGGCAAAACTGGACAGCTACATTTAAGAGAATGAAACTGGATTACTGTCTAACCCCATACACAAAAGTAAACTTGAAATGGATCAAAGACCTGAGTGTAAGTTATGAAACCATAAAACCCTTAGAAAAAAACATAGGCAAAAATCTCTCAGACATAAACATGAGCAACTTCTTCATGAACATATCTCCCCAGGCAAGGGAAACAAAAGCAAAATGAACAAGTGAGACCATCAAACTAAAAAGCTTCTGCATAGCAAAGGACACCATCAGTAGAACAAGAAGACATTCTACAATATGGGAGAATTATTCATAATGACATATCAATAAGGGGTTGACATCCAAATTATATAAAGAGCTCACATACCTCAATAAACAAAAAGCAAATAAGCCAATTAAAAAATGGGAAGAGGATCTGAACAGACACTTCTCCAAAGAAGAAATTCAGATGGTCAACAGGCACATGAAAAGATGCTCCACATCGCTAATCATCAGAGAAATGCAAATTAAAACCACAATGAGATTCACCTCACACCAGTAAGGATGGCCACCATCCAAAAGACAAACAACAACAAATGTTGGTGAGGTTGTGGAGAAAGGGGAGCCCTCCTACACTGCTGGTGGGAATGGTAAATTAGTTCAACCATTGTGGAAAGCAATATGGAGGTTCCTCAAAAAGTTCAAAATATAAATACCATTTGACCCAGGAATTCTACTCCCAGGAATTTACCCTAAGAACGCAGCAGCCCAGTTTGAAAAAGACATATGCACCCCTATGTTTATCGCAGCACTATTTACAATAATCAAGAAATGGAAGCAATCTAAGGTCCATCAGTAGATGAATGGATAAAGATGTGGTACATATACATAATGGAATATTATTCAGCCATAAGAAGAAAACAAATCCTACAATTTGCAAGAACATGGATGGAGCTAGAGGGTATTATGCTCAGTGAAATAAGCCAGTTGGAGAAAGACAAGTATCAGATGATTTCACTCATCTGTGGAGTATAAGAACAAAGACAAAACTGAAGGAACAAAACAGCAGCAGAATCACAGAACCCAAGAATGGACTAACAGTTACCAAAGGGAACGGGCCTGGGGAGGATGGGTGGGAAGGAAAGGACAAGGGGGAAAAAGGGGTATTACGATTAGGACACATAATGTAGTGTGTGTGGGGGGATACAAGGAAGGCAGTATAACACAGAGGAGACAAGCAGTGATTCTATAGCATCTTATTATGCTGATGGACAGTGACTGGAATGGGGCATGTGGTGGGGACTTGATAATAGGGGGAGTCTAGTAACTGTAATGTTGCTCATGTAATTGTACATTAATAATACCAAGAAAAAAGTTAAAAAAAAGTAGTTGGTAGAATATATACTGTCCTATACCTAAGTTTAATCATTTCAAATACGTTGGAGGTCTAGTCATATCAATAGAGACCTACCTTGAACTTTCAAATGTCTGCCTTATGGTTGTGCTATAATTGGTTTAATCATTCACCCTGTTAGTAAACTTCCATGTGTTTTCATTCCTTTGCTTTTACAAGCAGTACTGCAACAAACAACTTTATATATATAGTCTGAGGTGCATTTCATAGTACATCTGTGGGATAATATTCTGGACATGGAATTGCTGTGAGACTTCAAGCATTTTAAAGTTTGATAAATAGAAGTAGGAAAATAAAACCATCCACTCAAATCTGTAAGAGTTGGAGGTGGAGACTGCAATACTCTTGAGGGCAAAGTGTTTGATTATTTAGGCAAATCATTGAAATGGGTTATTTTTGAATGGGTTATTTTGAACTCAAAAGGCATATGTTGAAACTTCTATGTAATTGATAATACAAACAATCAATTCTGGAGGCAGGATTAGATTTATGTGGACTAGGCTGCTTTTGGAGGAAATGTGTTTTAGGTAAGGAACTGTTGAGAATGTCAGGAAATGCTAGGTGGGTTCCTCTTGTGTCTCTTAGACGCTGGGAATCATCAGTTCCTAGAGAGGTGAGGGGATTAGACAGAACTGTTTTTACAGAACTGTGTAGTTTGAGTAGAAGCATTTTACGGTTCAAGTGACCAAAAATGAACTAGGGCTGGGTAGAGGCCATTTTCTTTGCCTCTGCACAGACTCTAGAATCCCCAGTATTGCTGACTTATTGAGAATAATATCTACTGCATTATTTTATATATTACATTATTACATTATATGTCTTTTTATATTTTATGTGAATTTTTAAGTATTACATACAATAATAAACCTTAAGCATACACCTCAGTGAATTTTTATAAAATAAATAGCACCTAGTTCAAGAAATAAAACATTTCCAGAATCACAGAAAGCCCTTCTTGTCCATTTCTAGTCACCCACTCTCAACACTGAATCCTAACTCCATAGGTTTTCACCTGTTTTTTAGCTTCATATAAGTGCATACAGTATGATATAGTATATTCTCTTTTGTGTCTGCCTTCTTTTTCTCATATTGATTGTGAGATTCATAGATGTTAGAAAGTTACAGTTTATTTGTCCTCATTACTGTATAATATTCCATATCTATCCATTCTATTGATCAACTCTTGGGCTGTTTCCAGTTTGGTCTTTTACAAATAATACCCCTTTGGATTTTTGTACATGTCTTTTGGTGCATGCATGTTCACATATCTGTTGGAATATGCCTCAGTATGAGTGGAACTGCTGAGTGATAAAATATGCATATATTCGGCTTTAGTTCTTCAGAGTGGTTATGCCATATTATACTCCTGCCAGCAGAATGTGAGAGTTCTGTTTGTTCCTCATCTACACAACACTAGGTGTTTTCTGTATTTTTTATTTTAGCCATTCTGGTATATGTACAATAGTATTACATCATGGTTTTGATTTTCATTTCCCTGATGACCAATGATGTTGAGCATTTTTTTTTACATGCTTATTATCCTCTTTTACAAAGTACCTGTTTTGGTTATTTTGCAAATTTTTTATTGTATTCTGCCTTTTCCTTATTGATTTATAGGAGCTCATATATTTTCTGGATATGTCTTTTTTTCATGTGGTACAAATATCTTCCACTCTGTGGCTTGTCTTTTTACTATATTGCTATGCTGTTTTCTTCTTTCAGTAAATATAGTTCCTTAATTTTACTACAGTACAAGTGTTTTGGTTGGTGCTCTCTATGCCCTATTTAAAATGTTTTGCCAAAATCAGCAATGGAGTCAGTTGAAGTTCCACTAGTTCTCAGTCACTTCACTTAAATCTGTGTCTACTGACACCAAGAAAATATAGCTGGTTCTTGGAACCAAGTCCTAGGCACATGGCTTAGAATGAATTTCATCATCTCACTCCAAGGTGAAAAGATGAGAAGAGTGGTTTTTTAGTAAGAAATTAGTAATGCCTGCTAAAACTGTGTCCCACAAGTTTTGATATGTAATACTCCTATAATCATTTAAGGCTAAATAATTTAAATTTCTTTTTTTATTCATGAATAATTTAGAAGTGTTTGGGATGACTTTTTGTTGAATTTTATGTCCTTTTCATCAGAATTTGTATTAAATATATCAGTTTCTTGATATTTGTTGAAAATTGCTTTGTGATGTAGCATGTGCTCAGTTTTTATAACTGTTCCATGTGTTTGGAAAATAGGTTAATGTTCTCTTTCAAAGGAACAGCATTCTATATAAATCCACAAAATCAAGTCTATTAATTGTGTCATTCAAATATTTTATCTCTATTATTTTTGACAGTTTCTGATGAAGGTACATTAAAATTTCCCACTAGGTTTGTGGATATATGAAGCAAAAGTGTCTGTGTGTTTGGACAGTGAAACAATGCAGTCTTTGGGAATCTCCTGGGAGTCCTTGGGGATGGGAATAAGAAAGGGGAGAGTATTTAGAAGCACTATGGCAGCATCCAAGATTGTGAAAATTGTGTTACATATAGTACTGGAATACCTGACTTCATTTTTAGATATGCAGGGGAAGAAAGCACTACTGTCTCTTCTTCACTTTTGACCTCTAAGAACTCCATCCTCATTTAGCCAACCAGCTGCCCCAGGAAGGAAAAAGCAATGCATTTTTGGTTATGTATAGAGATGTACATCAAAAGGTAGGGCTCATTTGAGTTGGAGATTGTTTTTATCAGCTATACCACTGATCTGCACATATCCAAACATTCTTATCACTTTAGAAGCATATATGCATCTGGGTATGTTTGCTATTCTGTGTTTTTGCCTTAGTATGTGTGATCCATTAACAAATTAGTCAAGAGTTAGAGTGCATTAGTTGTCTATTACTGTGTAACAAATTACCACAAACATAGCAACTTAAAACAACTATATTTATAATCTTTCCATGGGTCAGGAGTCTTGGCACAGCCTAGTTCGGTGCTCTACTGAGGCTACAGTCAGGCTGTTGACTGGGCTATGTTCCTTCCTGAAGCTATTTCAAGCTCACATGGTCATGGGCAGAATTCAGTTCCTTGTGTCTGTAGACCTGAGGGCCCTACCTTTTTGCCAGCTGTCAGTTAGAGGTCAATTTCAGTTCCTGGAGGTGCCCTGCCTTACAGCCCTCTCACATGTCAGCTCATTTCTTCGAGGTCAGCAGGAAACTCTCAGTCCAGCTAAAACAGAGTCTTCTATAGTATAACATCACCATGGGAATGACATCCCATAACGTTTGTCAGAGTCTTTTGGCTGGAAGCCAGCCATAGGTTCCACCCACATTCAGAGGGATCATTCAAGGCTGTGACTCACTGGGGTCATCTTAAAATGCTGCCTACCACACAGAGTGAACTGTTTTTGTCCCAGCCAACTTCTGAGATCTGGAAATGGAAGAGAAGGGAATGTGTGCACAGTTGCTGGTAAAGACTACTTTTCTTCCCAACTAAAGATATTTGAGGAATGGGAGGATGGGAGATAGGCCTCAGATTCAGCAGAGCTCTGAGGTTGGAATGTTGCAAGGAGAAAGAGATAATAAAGCCCCCAGGGTCTACTTGGTTTCCTGTACTTCTTCCACCATTTACATACATTTTGGGTCCACGTTATCCAGAATGGCTTCTGTTCCAAGTTTCTAGCAGAGTCTTCACTGAAGGGGAACCTCTGGCCTTGAGGTGTCATGGATGGAAAAATAAACTGGTATACAATGTACTTTTCTACCAAAATAGCAAGGCCTTCAAGTTTTCTCCTTGTAATTCTGAATTCACCATTCTGAAAACTAACCTGAGTCACAATGGCATCTATCACTGCTCAGGCATGGGAAGGCATCGCTACATATCAGCAGGAGTATCTGTCACTGTAAAAGGTATGGTATCTGAATATGCATAAAGCTTTAGTTTTAAGGACCACTGGTACCATCATAAATCATTGCATCCATATGCAAGTGAAGAACGGAGCTCCAGAGAGGTGAAGCCACACAGTGACGAGTGGCTGGGCTGAGACCAGAACCAAGGTCTACTGAGTCCCAGTCCATTGCTTTTTTCAGTATACTCCCTCAGTAAGTCCAGTAGCTAAGGAATGTCTGGGCTAGGGCATAGTGAAGATCCATTTAATCAATTTTATTTTAGTTGCAAGGAATAGAGACTCACTCAAGGTAGGTAGGTGAGTTATTAGAAAATAACTCAATGGAACTCACAAAAGCTCCATAGAAACAGAAACCCAGGAAACACTGGGACTTAGGTACACTTTGTCTCTCTGAGACAATGCAGCTTCTCCAGTTCCATTTCTTTCTGAACATCTGCTAATTAAGCAGCCTCCTCTGTTCCAGTTTGCATGTTGTCCTTGTTATAACTCTTTCATGGCCTTTCATCTTAGTACTCATAACTATTAGCAGCTTTTTTCTGTCTGAAAAGAGTTCATTCCTATGGGGAAAGGTTATTGTCCCAGACTATCTTTTGAGGCAAGAACACAAGTAATGAATCACTGAACTGGCTAGTGTGTGAGTCAGTGTCCACTCCTAGGTGAACCATTACCAGAAGGACATGGTCATATCATAACTAACATGGCTATTCATGACTAACAGAGCTATACAGCATGGACTGTATAGAGGTATCCTCCGCAGTGGGATGTGAGCAAGCTGGCAACTAAGCAAAGCATATCTATGAGAAAATCCCAGGAATGCTTCTCTGCTGGAAGTGGGAAATATTATGTCTTATGGATGCACTCTCTAGGGGCAGGTTTCCCAAAGAGGGAGTAGGGATACCTTCTATAAAAAGAATCTTGGAACTGTAGCAGGCAACCCTCTCCCCATCAACTTTTCCTTTAGAACTATTTCCAGCTCCAGTACTGAGAGCATCCTTGTCATTATCCCTTCTAGAGGGGAATCTGGTCAACCTGAGCTGTGAAACAAAAGTTGCTCCCACAGAGGTCTGGCTTGCAGCTTTACTTCTTCTTCATGGGCAGCAAGACTCTCATAAGCAGGAACACATCCTCTGAATACCAGATACTCACTGCTAAAAGAGAAGATTCTGAGTCATACTGGTGTGAGGCTGCCACAGAAGATGGAAATGTCATCAAGCACAGGCCTGAGTTGGAGTTTCAAGTGTGTGGTGAGTGAGAATAATGGGAGTTGATTGGCACAAGAGAAGATGCTTCCTTTTCCCCTATGAGACTGAGATCTATTCAAGGGGATTTCATGGCCAAGCCAGAAAAGAACCATGAGCAGGCCTTTTCACTCTTGATTTATAACTTCACTGCTCTCATAAACTTCATAATTTCCTTTCTTCTCTTTTCCTTTCCTTCTACCATTTATTTCCTTCCTTTTATCCTTCTTTCTTTTCTATTTTCTTTCCCATCTTTCCCTTCTCTCCTCTCTCCTCCCTCCCCACCCTCTTGCAATAATCTACTCAACAACATATTGAGTTCTTCCTACCTACTGTCACAGGTATGGGGGTGGATGTAAGGGCATTAGGGGACAGTTCTTTGAAGATCTCACATGGTGGGTTGGTGAGATAAGGGTTTTGTGGATTGCACATAATACATGTCCAAGTATCTATATCTGGCTGAGGTAGAGGGACTATGAGCTCCAAGAAAAAGACTCTTTGGGAAAAAAAGTTTGTCTTCAACCCAGATTCATTTCAAGCATTAAATGTGATAGAAATAGCATTTATCTCTGAAACTAGGGAGTAAGTCTACTGACAGGGCCCTGAAAGTTAGGCTCTTATGAAGAACCTGCCCCTGTCAGTGCACCATAGAGCCCAGAGGGAGCTACCTCCAGCTCCTTCCTGCCCCTGAAATTACCAGTGTCTCCTCTGGGGACAGGCCTATCAGATCTCAGCCAACCTTGTCTCCCAAACATAACTCAGTCAGATTGCTCTGGTCTATAAATAGCATTTCTTCTTTTTGTCATTTTCTTCTTCAGGGTTCCAGCCACTAACTCTTGTCTGGTTTCATATCCTTTTTTATCTGGCAGTGGGAACAACATTTTTGGTAGACACTGTGTTCTGTATGGAACTGCAAAGAAAGAAAAAGAAAGAAAAAGTGGAATTTACAAATCTCTTTGGACTCTGGTCATGGGAAGAAGGTAACTTCCTACCATCAAAAAGATAGACATTAGAAGAAGAGCTGAAGCGTCAGGACCAAGAACAGCTGTAGGAGGAGACACACCAGAGGAAGCACCAGGAGGGAGGTAGCACTGCAGTTCATTGGGAGCCCACAGAGCTAGGCAGTCCCTACCCCTTCGTGTCTGGCACTGGGCACAACTGCCATGAAGCTAAAGGACGCTAAAGCTGTGAGTTCCATGGCACCTAATCCTCAAGTAAAGCAAATAAATGAGCTGACTTCAATGGAGATAAACTTGGAAATTTGGTAATCTGAGAAAACTTGAACCTATTCTAAAGAAATCTGCGTGTGTATATATAAGAGTTTAAAATACTGAATGAGAGAAAGGCCAGGAAGGAGACAAGAGAGAGTAGCATAGATCCAAAGAAGGGAACGCAGTTTGCAAATGGTTTATGAGAAATTTTGGATGAGAGTGATCATGCCTCTGCGGTGCTCAGGATGGTGACCTCATGGCTTTTCTCTCTTAGCACACTAGCAGGGTTTGTGGCCACAAAGCTTGCAGAGACACAAGGGAGTCCCTCATGATGAGGAGTGGGTACATTATTTTTGCCCTTTCATTTGAGGCTTTCACATAACCTCTCTGTGCCCAGAGACACCAGGGGTCCTGCCTGTCTGTCCCAGTCCCCTGCCCTACAGGAACGTAGGATGTAGCCATTGCTTTTCCTCATAACTTAAGCACAGTTCTCCAAGCATGGTACTGCAAGGAGAAGCTTCAAGTAGGAATGTTATTTTAAGGCTTCAACTCTTACCTCCAGAGATTTGCTTTCACTGTCCTGTTTTCGGATGATTACAAAATAGCTTCAAGATATACTACTCTCCCAGCTGGGCTCTAGTTTGGAGACAATTTTCCTGTTACTCTATAACACAACTGAGATAAAACTGAAGTATATGAATAAGATTTTACTAAAGCTTAGAAAAAAACAAAAGGGGTCTGAACAAGCCTAGCAACATAATTCTATATTATTTGGTCTAAAAAAAAATGTAGCCCAACTGCCAAACCAGCAAGCATCTCTGCCTAGCCTCTGTCCTGGCTCTGCACAGCAGGGTTTACCTGTAACACACACCACCTAGAAGCACTCTCAAGGAATTTGGGACTTGTAGCAGATGGAAAAGCAGCTTGGCCCACTGCCTTCCTAGCCTGTGGACAATGAGAATGTTCTTCTTCTCCCTTTTGCCTTCAGAAAGTACAGTAATGATTATCTCAATAGAAGTACAACAATGTCAACATTTGTGTTAAAAGAAATGGTCATATATAATAGCAGGAGTTTCACTGATTACACGTAATGTTTGGTCCTGTGGACTGGGGAAACAGAAAATGAGGGAAATTGCATGGAATGAGTTCCATAGGAAAGAGACCCAAAGACGTTCTGTAGAGTGACCACAGCATGAATTGGAAATTGAATTCAGAGGGAATTAGGAATGAAAGCAGAAAATTACATTCACACTCAAAGGAGAGAGCTCTGTCTATCCTCAAAGGGTGGACAGAATTTCAAGGAAAAGTCTCCCTGGTGGCAGAAGGTGAGGATACAGACAGAACTCTATGACTTGTGGTGAAGCTGGCCTTCCTCACTCTCCTCTTTTGCACTCCTTTCCAGATTTTTCCATGCTTATATCTTTGTCACAATTTTTCTCATATGTACTTTAATGCTTAAATAAATCAACTATTTAATTGACCAACTCTCAGGGGTGACCAGGCCTGCCTCAGATGCAGAGAGCAGCCTCACCCAAGTACCTTTCCCAGGTGGCCTACGTGTGGTACCTGAGCAAGGCAGGATACAAGGCATTTCTGTCATATGTGGGACACTCTGACACACCGACCTCAATCCAGGGAACCCTACTGGGTTGACCAAGGTTTTGTTGGGTGTGTGCTGCAATTCAGCTTCTTCCTCTGCTCAGCCTTGCTCTCTTCCCCCTCCCAATCCCTTCCCAAATCTTTCCCTTCTTAGGTACTGTTCCCTAATAAAAATATTGTACTCTAAACTCCATCGCAGTGTCTACTTCCAGAGAGTTCAATATGCAATGCTCTGTGCTGTGAGTGGTCATAGAAAACAGGTGATAAGATAGGGTTTGGAGATGGATGATTCACCCAGTCTACTGGCAGTAAGGAACCCAGCATGGGTGGTAGGTGGAACACAGAGAGCTCTTGGCTCAAAGTGGCTGTTCAGTTGCTGAAACTGTCACCAGTGGTGAGTTGGGGATTGTACTGGTGGAAGGGAATGCACTAGTAGTTGTAATGTATCAGATGTTGAAGGCCTCTGGAGGAAATAATAGACATGAAGATAAAGAAATTGAATAACTAGAGAAAAGCACCAATGAGGCTCTCCAGAAAGCCAATAAACAGCTGAGGGTAAGAAGCATTTGAAAAACACATCTTTGGTTGCCTACAAGGAAGTTCTCATCTCCTGGGAGGTGGAATGCCAAGGAAAGCCAAGGACTAAGGCTAGGGCTAAGGTGAAGGGGGCAAAGTTCAAAGAAAGCCTCTTTCCCATTTGGGAAAACATGGAAACCTGACACATGAGGCATCTTGGCTGATGCCTCCTAAAGTTTTGACCCCCAGTGCTCCTAAACCTTTTGAGGCTACAAAAGTGGCCCATACATCTCTAATAAGAGCTAGCACTCCATGCTGGAAGAAAATGCAGAGACTTCATCCCAAGATAACAGATAGCCCCTCCAGATATTCCCCCATGTTTCCTCCTAGCCACCAAGTCTAAAAAAGGGTGAAGTCACAGCATAACCCAGCTGGGGCCCAATAAAAAGGAAAGGGAGTATATCCCCAAAGAGTTACAAAGCTTAGCCTCTGTGTACTCACAGAAGCCTGGAAAAGCAGGACTGTATTCTAAGGGTGCTTGACCAAGAGGACCAGAACATAAAATTGGGTGGAAAAAGTTTATTGACTTGGGAGTTCTCTCCTGAGTTATAGAGTTTAACAAAAACCCTAGGAGTCAGTACCAATTTTTTACTTGGATGGCACCTTAAAAGATGGAAAAAGTTATGGCCCATGCTGAGCAAAGTTGAAATACCAGCATGGTCATGTAAGACAGTAAAGAAAGTGATTAAAAGGCCAAGGGAATGGGAATACTGGTATAGATATATGTTTTATAGACATGTCTGCCAGATAATTATTTTCCATGAAGATCCCAAAGGAAACACCATTTACTCAGGCACTATGGACCATTCTGGCGAACGGGTATAAGAATCTCTAGAAAGTCCTAGAAGTCCTATGGCCAGGGCTGATGGTACAGAGAGAAAGTCATAGAATTTGGCTCACTGATAGCAATAGGGATAATAGGAGACCAAAACAATAGAGGCCAATAGTAGTGTTCAACCACCAGAAACTAGGGAATCACAGTCACTGTAATGACCAGCAAGGTCAGAGTGGCATCCAAGCCTAACCTCAGAGAATTATGGAAATGATTAATAGAACATGGTATACCTATGAGCCCAAATGAATTGTCACTCAACAAGGATGCTATTAAGTTTATGCCATTAGAAATCAAGACTGGGTGACAGGGAGGCTGAGGTCAGTTTACAGATCCAGAGCCCATTAACAGAGGTGGCTGGGTCTCCAGATAAAGGACCCTGCAACTCCATGGAAGGTACACAAACTCATTTATTCATATAACTGCACTGAAGAAAGGAGAATACCCAAATATCTTGTGTACTATTGGGTTGGCAAAGATACCTGGGGAATAAACATGGGTCCCGTATTGCTCCTAATGACCCACCACAGGGCTTTGTGCTCCCCATTCCTACAACTCTGGAGGTTAGAACTTCTGCAGGGCTGGAGACCCTCATCCCCTAAGGGGGAAAACTCTCACCCAGTGTAAATCCAGGGAAAAGAAATCCTGGGGGAAAATACCTAGCTGAAAGCAAAATCAGTCAAAGGGAGAAATAAAGTTTAAAACCCATTTATTGCTTACAAAAAAGTCATCTGGCATCTCTATCTTTCCTGCTGCTGCAGAAGCAAGCAAATCCTCCCCCCAACCTCTCAGGTCCAGATAAGCCCTTGGTTGCCCACGTAATTACTCATTCATATGGAAATGGACTACTTCCCTCCACCCCTTGAAAATACATAAAGATGCACTAAAGCCAGGGGAGAGATTCTGGAAATATTGCAATTTTACCCACACCCAGGGACACAGCATGAGTCTTACTGAATTATAGCCCATAATTAATCCCTGGGTACTTTGGGTTCCTTGTGTCTAGGGAACAATGGGCAAGAAGAGAGGAATAATTGACAGAGATAACCAATCCTAATCAGCAGGAGAAGATAAAGCCATTATTACACAATGGGATAGAGAGAAATATGGGTAGAACCCCAGGTAATACACTTGAATGCCTCTTATCAACCCCTTGCCCGGTTGTGACTTTAAATAGACTGGTACAGTAACTGCAGGTTTAGAAGGGCTTAATAACCAGATACTCAGGTGTGGGTAAAATTGTAATATTTCTAGAATATGTCACCTGGCTTTAGTGCATCTGCATATCAACAGGTGTTTCTCAGGGGTGGAGAGAAATTGTTCATCTCTGTATCTATGGGTAATTACCTGGGCAACCAAGGGCTTATCTGAACCTGAGAGGTTATGGGGAGGTCTTGTTTGCTTCTGTCAGAGCAGGAAAGAGATGGCCCCAGACTGCAGTTTGTAAGCAATAAACAGGTTTTAAACTTCATTTCTCCATTTCACTGATTTCAGTTTTAGAGGTATTTTTCCCCAGGATTTCCTCTTCCCAGTGTTAACATCTGGCAGTAGTCAGCAGGACCTCTGAACCCAAAATTTGTCTAAATGGATGCAACCTATGGGAGGTCTGCCACTAGTGATGTTGGGGAGATTCCTGGAAACCCCCCTGTGGATAGTGGTAAGACAGGGGCTGTGGGTGTAGTCAGAGTAGGGTGAGGGCCTCTGGAAAAAGACCCCTACCAAAACTCCATATTAAACAATTAAACAAAGACTAAGTCACATTAATTCTCTACAGTAAAATTTCAAACTAAGAATATAAGCATTCCTCAGTGAAGATTAGTTAAAACTAAAAATCCAGAAATAACCTGGCCTGGAATGTTTGAACATCCCCCAGATAAGAAAGTACCTCACCATAGCCCATGTCTTGTTTGTATCAATTAAATAAAGCTATTGTAAAATTTACTTTAGCCTGCTAAAAGGTCCAGTTTATCTTTAACTTTACCCAGATGCTGCTTTTCCTCCTCCAGCCCTAATCAAGTCAGTAACTCAGCTCACCTCGAAAGCAAAACAAACAGCCTTGACTGATAAACTCCTAAGTCAAAAACTACTACTCTGAGAAAGGATCAAAGCAGTAAATTTCTTATGTTAACTCCACAAAATAGTCCAGAAAACTGATAAGAAACTTAGTGTCTGTAGATAAAATGAGAGTTCCTGTGGCCAGGATTCTCACCTGGCCCTGGTTGACTAGCCCACTGCACACCTGTGGACAATACATGGCTGTTGAATCTATATAAAGAGCTCTGCCCAGTGCTCTGGGTGTGACACGGTGGCAGGGCTGCAAGGCTGCAGGAGAGCAGAGCTGAGGCTGGAGTGGTAGCAGTGCTGAGGACAGAGGCCCAGAGGATGGCTCAGCAGACAGAGGGGCCCAGAGGCAGAGACCGGCTTGCGGCATGCAGACTCACTCTGAGTGAACGGGATTCTACTGACTGACCTGGCACCTGGAAATAAGGTTGGGTATAACCCTTTCACCCAAAGAATGTTTTGTTGTCATTTTCTTTGGTCATATTGAATCCATAGCGAACTTGTCGGGGGCTGAAACCCATTGGCAAGACAGTGTCTCTTCAAAGATAAACATTTAGAGACCATTTGGTGGATCTGCATCCCTAGCTCTTTGTCTCTCAACCGCCTATAAATCCCCAGGCAACTCATCACTATGGGTTCTCTTGTCCCCTCCTGGCTCATGCCAGGAGCTCTGTCTGTCCTCTCATTGTATCTCTCAATAAAAGTCTCCCTGGCTCCCCTACCTTGACTGTTTGCTGAGTTCATTCTCTGACTCCACAAACAAGAACCCCAGCATCAGTGGGGAGGCCCCAGTAGATGCAGTGGCAGAGGGTGCAGCTTCACCTGGGAGCCCACTATATGTGGTGCTTCTAATTTGGGAGCTCCTACTGGAGAAGTGGTCTAGGGTAAAGCACCTCCTGGAGTGGTGGGGTCTTCCCCGGAAGTGGGAAAGGGTGGAGACACTGGAAGCTGCAGAATTAGCCCTCCGTGAGACAGAAAACTGCTTAGGGGCCCTGAGTGGCTGTGTAGTAGCTGGTATTATGGAGTCTCTTTTCCTCGAGATAGTGGAAAATGTTATCAAGGAGAAAGAGGGTTATTGAGAGGTTTATTGAGAAGAGAGAGGGACTTAGGCATTAGAGAGACACACTTCAGCATCGCTTGGAGGAGCTGAGCGATAGCCTTTGGGATGCCGTTAAGAAAGAGAGCCAGTTATTGAGAGGACATGTCACACTCCTGGAAGATTCCTTAGCAATGGCGAGGTGTGAGGCGGCAGGAGAAGCTGCATTGCAGGAGGCCGTGGGGGAGGGGGAGGAAAGAGCCGTGCCTTCAGTCCCAGAGATGGAGGAGGAGCAAGGAGAGGGGGGCAGAGGAGGCGAGGCCATTCTCTGATCTACGGCTTAGGCCACCGCCCACCTGAGGCACCAGCCTCTCCGGTGTTAAAGGCCCGCCCATCTGCAATTAAAAAAAAAAGGCAATCAACCTCTGGCTCCTTGAGGGGGAGAAACCGACCCCTCCGGATGTTGTGGAGCACTCCATGCTCCGTCCCAACACCCAGGATGAGCTGGTGGACATGAGCATCTGGTATAGGCAGAAGCCATCAGAATCCCTGCCTACATGGTTTTTATGTCTCTGGGATATGGGGGTGGAAAACATTGTTGTGGCGGGTACTGAGA